AACATCCTGTTGGCTCAGTAGCTTGCTGTCTGCTTAAATTATGATTCTGATATTTTTTTCCTACCCATGTGACTTTGGGCAAATCACTTAAATACTCTGTGCTTTCTTTCCTCATCTAATTTTGAAAATGATATACTCTTCACATAAGGTTGCCAGGGGTAAGTGAACAAACAAATATAAAGAACTTAACAGGAGTTCCTAGCACACACAAAGAACTCAAAAATGCTAGGTTTTACTACGTGCCTTCATAACGTGATTTTGCAAAGGTACATGGATTATGGTATAGATATGGAAACAGATTTTATTTAAAAGAAAATCACTACATGAACCAAGATCATACCAGCCTTGGAAGTCATAAATTTAAAGAGATATTTATTTTTTTTATTTGAAAGCCAGAGTTATAGGGAGGCAGACAGGGGGAGGGAGAAAGGGAGGGAGGGAGGGAGAGAGAGAGAGAGAGAGAGAGAGAGAGAGAGGTCTTCATGTGTTGGTTCACTCCCCAGATGTCCACCATGGTTGGAGCTGTGCGGATCCAAAGCCAGGAGCCAGGAGCTTCTTCCGGGTCTCCCACAAGGGTGTGGGAGCCCAAGGACATGGGCCATCTTTTACTGCTTTCCCAGGCCACAGCAGACAGCTGGATCAGAAGTGGAGCCACCAGGACTTGAACCAGTGCCTATATGGGATGCTGGTACTGCAGGCTGGGGCTCTAAGCCGCTGTGCCACAACAGAGGCCCTGAAATCATTAATTTTTAAAATTTTCACTTGAGAATAGCATTGACATGTTTATTTTGGGTAGAAGGTATCCAAATCTTTCTATAAGGTTTCTTGTAGCTCCGCTTTTTTTCCATTTTATATTTGGATTGGCTCCATTATCTCAACCCAGTTTTTTGTCTTTTCTAGATTTCATCAGGTTGAAAGACAAAATGCCTACTCTGTTGTGACAAAATCCAATTCTTGGTCATTGACCACACTAGAGGTGGACAAGCCACATATTTTAAAGGTCCTTGGTTACCCCTCTTAAGCTTGTGGTCTTGCTCTGTCATTATCCTGGAGGCAAAACTCATATTTCATGACAATATCAAGGCCTGTTGAAAATCTCAGTGCAAGTTGGGGCAAATGAGGAACCAATGGTGTTTCCTTTGTAGCACTTCTTAAAAATAACAAGGTGAAATATATGAAAGGAGAATTTTTTTGAACTTCAAAATTAGTATCAAGAGTTATGGATCTCCTTTATTCAAAAAAAAAAAAAAGAAAAAGAATAAACATGTATTTTCGCCTAATTGCTGAATGTCTTGTCTTGTGTTTCTGAAATTGTTAATCATTCCTGAAAATTTCTCAGTAGGTAAGCTATTAAAGCTAAGAGCAGCAAGCTCTCTGTTCTCTCATCATATGTCAGGGGTGCTGTCCTTAGATAACTCTGGGGCTCACAGTAACATGGTAAAGACCAAAATGATTAGATTAAATTAAGCACAAAAGCTGAGTTAACTATTTATATCTCACCATGCTCCAGGATTTTAGGCAGCTAAAATTTCATCTCTAGGGTTAATAATCCATTATATAATTATAACTAAGTTATATTTTCCATGTATTGTATATAATATACATATACATATGTAACATACATATATTACATTTATACTATATATATATATATATATATATAAACAGATGACTTGGAATGAAAGAAATATTCTGATGTTATCTGGTATACCTAATATCTACACGTAAGTGTAAAGTGACATTATGTTTTCAACTACCTACAGTTTTATCACTATAAATCAGAGAAAAATCAAAGAGCTGTAATTAATTTATATCTCTTAATCTCTTAAAAACAGATTATAGGCCGGCTCTGTGGCTCAGTAGGCTAATCCTCCACCTGCGGCGCCGCCACACTGGGTTCTAGTCCTGGTCAGGGAGCCGGATTCTGTCCCGGTTGCCCCTCTTCCAGGCCAGCTCTCTGCTGCGGCCCGGGAGTGCAGTGGAAGATGGCTCAAGTGCTTGGGCCCTGCACCCCATGGGAGACCAGGAGAGGTACCTGGCTTCTGCCTTCAGATCAGCGCAATGTGCCGGCCTCAGTGCACCGGCCGTGGAGGCCATTAGAGGGTGAACCAATGGCAAAGGAAGACCTTTCTCTCTGTCTCTCTCTCCCCCACTGTCCACTCAGCCTGTAATAAAAAAAAAAAAAAACAGATTATTATATTTGGTAATTACCTCCAAGGGACAATAATTATATATTTTGGTAAAGTAACTAAAACATAAATAGAAACATACACATTTCCAAAGTGCTACTAAGGTGGACTAATCTATTTATTAATTTGTTATTTAATTGATGTGGATCATGAATAATTTATTTCCCAAGAAAACCTTCTTGTGGAATGTTAAGGCATTAATAAGAAAAGTTATTTTTAAAGATTTCCTATTTCCTAAAGAGTTGGATATTTATTACACCTTCCTGTTCAGTAAAAAATAATGACTTCAGCATTGTTTGATATCAGAAACACTTGGACACCTTGTAAAACACTGATTGCAGAGCTATAACTTCACAGTGCTTTGATGCTGCAGCAGGTCTAGGTGGAGGTTTAAAATTTGTATTTCTTTCAAGTTCCCAAGAGATAATTGAGAAAGGTTGACTGGGGACCATATGTGGGGACTGTTTTATATACAGGTCACATACAACTAAAGCAATGTAATCATCTGCAAATGTGGACTAGCTATACAGCACTTACACCTGCAGACTGAAATATGACAGAAGTTCTCCAATAATTTAAAGAGCTACAGCAAAATTTAGATTAAAATAATAGAAGTAAATATTGCAAATTCAGAAGATACACTTATGAATTTTAAAATGGAATTATTTTTCCTAAATGTTAGAATAATTTTTCACAAGAGTTGCTTCCTATTAGTAATAAGTAGTAAAAACTCTTTTAATATTAAATGTAAAAAGAGGATTTTAGTATTAAAAGAAAAATGAAAAAAGCAGCCAAAGTTATTTCTTATGAGTCAATCATGCTCTGTAATATTTAGAAGCTTGTAGAGTAGTCCATTCATTGATCAGATAAATTTAGGATACTGCAATTCTATAAAAGATTTAAAACAATGAATTAACTGTCAATAACACTCCTATATCTTTTTAAGATTAGATAAACTTTATCACCATAATTAACCACTACAGCAAATATTGATGTAAATGAGTCACTATATTGACTGTTTAAAAGAAAAAATTATTTTGTAAACCTGACAAATTATATAAGTATGTGTTCCTTATTTGTGCAAATAATTGTTTTACACAAAATTGGTGCTTAATATTTGCTGAATAAGAAAAATCAGAATATTATAAACTATAGTTATCAATATTTTTCCTATGATGTGACTTTTAGAAAGTCTACAAATGGGCATGAAAATTTGTAAGTGATTGTTTTTCCTCCCTATCTAAGAATTCACTGCCCTTAGCTATCTATCACCGATATCATTGAAAACAAAAACAGTTTGCAAAATAATTATATTTATTTACACACTTTGTAGTTTTTATTTGAAGACTATAACTTGGCTAGAATCTTGAGCAGAACGATGCTATAACCAACAAAACTCAAAGTCGCTGTTCCTTGAATACAGTACTAAACAGAACTATTCTGTAATGGCTCAAAAGCTAACAGCTAGTAATTTCAACTGCTATTACATTAGATCTGTAGCTCAAGGTATATCAAGGCTTGATGACTATAACAAACTATATTTATCATGTAGTCCCAGGACAGTTTACACTTAATAAGCAGTGTGGCACAATAGTGATGTGGTCTAGGAAGACAGAATTCCTGAGGTTGAAACCTGACTGTTACCTCCCGCTTGTGTGAACTTAGGTAAGTTGTTTCATTCTTTTGCTTGGAATTCTTCATGTCTAAAATGGAGATAATAACTCTATCTCATAGATAGATAAGATATCTATATGATTGATAGATATCTATGACAGAGTTAATAGGAGAAATGAGTGAATTAATATATGTAAAATGGTTAGATTTGCATCTGGCTATTTTATAAAAAATTATAATATTTGTTTATATATGATTTATGGTAAGTACATACCTCATATATTTATGTATATATAATTACATTATTTATTACCACACATATATTTATATCATATACAATAAACACCACCTAAGTGATAGCAACTATGATCATTTTTATTATATCCTCCATTTTGGGATAATTCTATCTTATGTCCTACCCTGTCCTATATTTAATTTCAGTGCTATCTAATTTCTACTGCCTGAATTATTCTTATACTCAAAACCTTAATTCTAGAGAAGACATTAGCCAAACTGAAATTGATAGAACATTCTTTTTTAAATTTTATTTGTTACACAAGTTTCATGTATTTCATATATGTATAGATTTAGGAATGTAGTGATACTTCCTACTCTAACATCCTTCCTGCCCATGTTCCAACTTTTCTTCCTCCTCCCTCTCCCATTCCAATTCTTAATTTTTATAAAGATCTATTTTCAGTTTACTAATGATGATAGAGTTAACCCTACACTAAGTAAAAAATACATTGGAGTGAAATGGACATTTTGATTCGATGATTGTTTTTTCTGTTGAGAAACAATGTTTTTGTGTTGATATAATATTCTTAAATATTGCTATTCTGGTTTAAATCATTCATAAATGCTTAACTGCTTTGTTGAAATAACATAAGCACAAATATTCTCATTTTATCTTCTTTTTCACTAGAAGATTTAGTTCTCAAAAGAGTACTAAATTTACAACTAATATAGACTGACACACAGGACCAAGAATAGTTATGAATTATGTACCTGAATGAAGTATTTACAAATAAATAAAGAACCAAATTTGAATGTTAACAACAATCCCAACATCTTATATCTTCTGCTATAATAAGTTAATTTCCTAGGCCAATTTTTAGAGCTATAAACTTTGAAAACTACTGGAATTAAAAAAATTGTTCTAGTTAAAAAGCTATTTGCTGAACATTGAACTGGTAGGCTACAATGGAAAAAGGGTTGTGTCTGATGCGTATACATTTACCAACCTTTTAAATCCATATGGAAGAGAAGATGGCGATGTCATGGGAAGTGGATTTGTGTAATGTCATCAATTGAAGTCACTTAAAGGAACCTTCAGAGGTGTTCACAGAAAGCAAACATTAGAAAAATATCTCATATAGCAAGATCTGTAATATCTTTCTTATGTTCAATGAGTACTTGTAGTAGAAGAATTTATTGGCTCAAATTTTCTACCCACTTCTGCATCCATTCCCCTTTCTAAGTAATTTTTTTGCAAGTTCTCCCACTCATAGTATAATATACTTTCTTGTTCCTTTTCTTTGGACTGAACCATTTGATGTATTTTCATCAATCCATGTGGCCATTTCCTTTTCATCTTGCTTAACTGTCATTACTATCAAAAAAGCTTCTCCTGTGTAGCTCTCACATATGGGGAAAAGACCGAAGCTTAACTTGTAGCAAGGGGACCTTGCTTGTCTGTCGAAATCTGAAACTGAAACAGAGCTCTTTCCAGCAGTCTATTCCAGATCAGCTGGTCCTCAAGTGACCTGAAGATGCGTGAGAAAAAATATTTACTGCTGTATGCCACTGATACTTTGTTTTTATTTGTTACAAATAAAACTTGATTGACATAAACTAAGTTTTAGTATTAAAAATAGACATTATGCTTTCAAGAAAGCTATAAATAACTCCAAAAAGAGTTGTGGCCAATTATTTAATTTTGTATATATTTTAGGTGGAATTCCATAGGAAATCCCGCAATATTTGCTAGGATTTTGGGGGTGTTTTTGATAATTTAAATAAAGTCAATGAAGTTGTATAACTGGAAAAGTCAACCAATACATTTAATAACTATATTTCTTGGTATATGTAAGAAGTCATAAATTTTCCTAATGGAATAACTATACATGAAAAGTATGTTTTAATACTTTTAAGAATATAACATGTGATCAACAGAATCAAAACAATACTTGTTGAAAACCAAGTAGAATATTTCATACAACTAATCAGTACTTTCAAAAGGACATTATAACCATATTGATTTTATGACATTGAAAGACATGAGGTTTACAAATTTTAAAAATATTTCTCCTTCTATATGAATTATCTCTAAGATGACAAACAATGATATATGTGCAATATGTAAGAAAAAAGTCTTAAAAATTGCATTTACAGCCATATCTTTTGAACACTTTGTGTTGATAAAACAACAGAATTTAATATCTCATTCATTACTATGGTACATGCCTTACATGGAAGTCTTTTATATTTTAAACATGTTTTTTGAGACAGACACATTAATGGTCCATTTTAGAGAAAAACAGATGTAGACTGTATTGAATGACATTATAAATACAGTTACATGGCAATAAGGAGGGCATTCTCAAGCTGACATTAATATAGAAATATGACTCATAATATTATATATACATTTAAGACAAACAATTAACTTGAATTAATGATCATGTTTAGAGATAAATTTTAAAATCTTATTTAAAATATTCTTGAAATCTTCTATGTGAAAGTTCTCCATACATTCAATTTTAGTATGCTTCTATTATTTGGTGAATTTCTAAGGAAGTGCATTATTTTCAACAACTTCAACCTCTGCTGAGTTTAAAAGAATGCCCACTCTCCATAAATAAAAGGTAAATAAAGGAAATGTATCAGAGAGTTGGAAAATAATTTCATCATGCTTCTGTAGAAATTTCTTGATTTCTTGTTCATTATGCCCTGTACTTGAGGTGTTCTCTTCTTCAATTTTCTTTTGAAGAAGCTGCTCCAAAACCCAGAATAAGGAGAAAATATTTTCATAGCGTGTCACATCATAACTTGCTTGTGCCTATAAATAAACAACAAACTTCTTTTTAAAAAGTTGGGTATAGAGTATCTCAGAAAAATGCTTAACAAAGACACTACATTTTCAAACAGAAATAAAGCTTTTAAAATCTTTTATTTTTGTGTAGTATCTGTCTTTTTGTCCCTTTGATTAGTAGAGTTGGGAAGAACAAAGAACAAAATACCGTTTTCAAGAACAATATTTGTAGATGACTTTATTTTCTCAATGATTCATAAAGCTCCAAATCATTTCTCTATAATCTTTAAATATAAGCTGAGCATTCCCTAACATAAAATAAAAATAGAAATCCATAATGATCCAAAATCTAAAATCTATAAGCATTGACAGGTGTGTCCCAAGTGGGATATTCCACACTTGACCTCATGTGATTTCATAGTCAAAATGTAGGCACACTAAAAATACTATATAAAATGTCGTCTGATTATTCACATTAAAAGCATAAATTAATTTAGTGTGTGGATTTGGGTCATCCTTGAAATATCCCATTATGTATACACAAATGTCCCAAAATCTGAAAAAAAAAATTCGATATCCAAAGTACTTCAGATCAACTGGTAATTCATTACTCAGAGAAATCTGCGATTACTTGGCAGAGTCATACATATGTCAATGTTGAGTGCTGTTCTGGCCTCAGAATCAGCCCTAAAGGCATTCCGATCTGGCTGAAAAGCCCATGAGAGTATTCCAGGCATGGAAAGCCAAGACACTCTGGCAAAAAAAAAAAAAAAAAAAACCTAAATGAAAGATCTCTGTGAGTGAGATCCCAGTGGAAAGAACAGGTCTTCAAAGAAGGAGGTACCTTTCTCTGAAGAGAAGAGAGAACCTCCACTTTGACTATGACCTTGTCTAAACAAGATAAGAGTCAGAGAACTCAAGGGGCTTCCATAGCCTTGGAAACTCATGACTGGAGCATAGGGAGATTACTGAGGCCATAAACAAGAGTGTCAATTTGTAATGTCAACAACAAGAGTCACTGCGCACTCGCTCCTCATGTAGGATCTCTGTCCTTAGCGTGCTGTACATTGAGACTTAATGCTATAACGAGTACTCAAACAATATATTCCACTTTGTGTTTCTATGGGGGTGCAAACTGTTGAAAGCTTTACTTAATGTATACTAAACTGATCTTCTGTAAAAAAAAAAAAAAAAAAAAAAAGAAGAAGAAGAAATTATCAATTCCCAACTTGACTCTCACTGGGATTAAACATGACAATAGGTCTGATCTGATTTCATCATCATTTAAAAAATCATCTATTATTTTTCACTTTATGTTTCTGTGTGGAGCAAACTGTTGAAATCCTTACTTAATGTATGCTAAACTGATCTTCTGTATATAAAGAGAATCAAAAATGAATCTTGATGTGAATGGAAGGGGAGAGGGAGTGGATAAGGGGAGGGTTGCGGGTTGGAGAGACGTTATGGGGGGGAAGCCATTGTAATCCATAAGCTGTACTTTGGAAATTTATATTCATTAAATAAAAGTTAAAAAAAATGTTGAGTGCTGGTGCTGAATTTAACATTTTGCCAAAGATTTCCAACGTATGAAACTCTTGCTAATAATACAAGGATCTTTAGGATTTTAAAATTCAGTCTGAGACCAAGTAGGGTTGTGATCTGTAAGCAACAAGATGTGTTCTCATTCTTAAGTCTATAAGTTACGGAAGAATACTATTAGACTTTATTGAATCAGATACATGGACATAATAAGAAATGGTTAGATATGAGGCACATTATGCAGCCATGAAAAAGAAACAAATCTGATATGTGCAGCAAAATGGATGGAACTGCAGGACATCATGTTAAGTTAATGAATTCAATCACTGAAAGACAAATATTTTATATGTGGGAGGTCAAAAAAACAAATAAAACCAAACTCAGTCTGAACACACTAAACTGACTACTAGAGTAGAGGCTGTGAGGATGGAAGGAATGGAGGGAATTGAGATAAAAACTAGGAGAAGCTGGGCATGGCTCATTAATTGTGACAAATATATTAAAATGTGGGGAGCTTGACGCGTGGCATATGGAAACTTGGTTTACTATAAAATTTGTTTAATAAACGTAAAACTATCCTGAAATAGAAAGTTTTAAAAAGTAGATGACAAACATAACATGAAAGAATATTAGAATTTGTATAAAAATAGAAGGAGGAGAGAACCTCCACTTTGACTATGACCTTGTCTAAACAAGATAAGAGTCGGAGAACTCAGAGGGCTTCCATAGCCTTGGAAACTCATGACTGGAGCATAGGGAGATTACTGATGCCATAGACAGGAGTGTCAATTGGTAAAGTCAACAACAGGAGTCACTGTGCACTTACTCCTCATGTAGGATCTCTGTCCTTAATGTGCTGTGCATTGAGATTTAATGCTATAACGAGTACTCAAACAATATATTTCACTTTGTGTTTCTATGGGGGTGCAAACTGTTGAAAGCTTTACTTAATGCATACTAAACTGATCCTCTGTAAAAAAAAAAAAAAGAAGAAGAAGTTATCAACTCCCAACTTGACTCTCACTGGGATTAAACATGACAATAGGTCTGATCTGATTTCATCATCATTTAAAAAAAATCATCTATTATTTTTCACTTTATGTTTCTGTGTGGGAGCAAACTGTTGAAATCCTTACTTAATGTATACTAAGCTGATCTTCTGTATATTAAAATAATCAAAAATGAATCTTGATGTGAATGGAAGGGGAGAGGGAGTGGGAAAGGGGAGGGTTGTGGGTGGGAGGGATGGTATGGGGGGGAAGCCATTGTAATCCATAAATCGTACTTTGGAAATTTATATTCATTAAATAAATGTTAAAAAAATAGAAGTAGGCTTTATCATTTACTGAATCAGAAATTTTTTAGAAGCCTTACGAAGTTAGTAGACTACTTATTGCCATTTTATCATCATAAAAACTGAGCCTCGGGAAGCAGTGTCTAGAACATCAAGTTTCCATATTGTGGGTGATCCCATGAGGCTGCCTGCCCTGCACATGCAGGAGGTTGAGAGGGCATGGCATGCCAGTCTTCCCAGGAGGGAACCGGCAGCCTGGCTGCTGGCAGGCAGTGGAAGCTCCAGGCACATTTCTCCCCATCCCCACCTGTGGGGAGCAATCCGGACTAAGACTTATTCTATGCATCTGCTCTCCCACAATATGGCGCTGGGAGAGAAGTAAACAGCTTCCGCACAGCTGCCTCCAGTTCAACTAATAAATTGTAGGACTTGCTCCTGATTGGAGAGCAGCGTACTCGGCGTGTGGGCAGCCGAGTTAGGATTGGCAGAGGACTATAAAGGAGGAGAGAGACGGCATGCACCAGGAACATCTATGGGGAACATCTAGCTGAAGGAACACCCGTGCAGCCCCCGAGAAAGCCGGCCGGCGGTGTGCCGCTCCCCTGCGGAAGTGGGGAATGTGGCCAGGGGGAACTGCCCTTCCACGGAGGTGGAAGGGATAGTAGCCAACCCGGGAAGAACCAGCAGCAAACCCGGGGAGGGCCGAGCAGACGAGAGAACAGCACAGGGTCCTGTGTTGCTCCTCCACGAAGAGGGGGAGCGACATAATGGTGCCGTGACTCGGATAGGAAACCTAGCTTGGATAGGAAACCTAGGACAGATAGCAAACTTAGGAGGGAAGAAACGGGAAGAACTGGGAAAATATCGGAGAGAGAAACTAGCAAACAGCCTAGGGAAATTACCGGAGAGAGAGACTAGCAAACAGCCTAGGGAAAAGCCGGACGAAAAGGGTGCCGGAAGAAGCTATTGAAAGCCTAGGCATAGACTCGGATACGGACTACGGGGGGAAGCTGGGAGAAATCTCTAAGGTCGAAAGCGAAAGTGAAAGCTAGAACAAACAGATTCGGACGCGGACTGTGGGGAGAGGCCAGGAGAAATGAGGGAGGAATATTGTTGGAGGAAAGCTTGGGGAAACATACCGGGTAGAGAAGAATGTTAGGGAAAATGAAGCCGCGAGTGCAGTCCAAGGCGGACACGAAAGCCACTTTGGGATTCTCAAGTTAGCCTGGGAATAGGGGGCGAAAAGTTGAAACCAGAAGCTGAGACGTAAGCCAGGTTGGGATCCGTCTGATTAGCCCGGGGAGCAAAGGACGGGAAGCCAAATCGTGGGGCGGAGACGTACGCTGGGTTGAATTCGCCAGGCTAGCCCGGGGAACTTGGATTGAATGCTAGTGGTGGAGACGCAAGCTACGCTGTGTGACTCGCGGAAGCCGCCGCGTGCAGAGAGAGCACGGGGCGTGAATAGATAGGGAACGGGGCTGGCGTAGGCCGTGGTTCAGACGCGAAAGGGTTAAGCGTGGAGACCGCGGAGCGCGCGAAGCTGAGCCGCGCAAAGCCAGGAAGCTGCGCAGATGAGAGAGGCAGCGCGCGGGCTGAAGCGGCGCAGAGCCGGGAACCCGCCGGCGGGGCGAGGTGCCGGAAAGCCGCAGGGATAAGAGAAACAGAAGTTTTAGAAGTAAAGTGAGAAAAATAGGAATGCTGGAAGATAGAAGTAAAATGGGAGAAATAGGAATGCCCGGAGATAGAGAAATAGAGAAATAAAAAGGCCTCCCTACAACACTGCAATGTGAGAGCTTGGATTCGGTCTGCCTAATCAAGTGAGGCGATGAGCACCTGCGGGCAGCTAGCAGCTTATGCGCCGCAGGTCACCGAAGACAGGCACGAATTAACATCAGTAAGGCTTCCCCACAATACAACAATATTAAGCTTGGATTCGGTCTGCCTGATTTAAGGCGGTAAGCGCCAGCAAGCAGCTCGACCAGAGTATGAGCTGCAGGTCACCGAAGATAGGCACGAACCAACACTAATAAGTCTCCCCCACAATAAGGCAATGAGAAGGCTTGGATTCGGTTTGCCTGATAGGTCTTGTAAGTCCCCTGCAGGCAGAGCAGAGCATGCGCTGCAGGGCACCGAACACAGGCACGCATCAGCGCCTAAAAACCTCCTCACAACATGGCGAAGAGAGGACCCGGAT